CTCTCCTCTTCTCTCCTTTTGCGTTCTTCACGTTCGATGAGTTCCTACAACACTATGATTGATAACAAAAAGAAATTATTTCAAAAAAGGTATATTTTTCACCTGCTCCCTCATTGCTTTCTTTTCTGCTTTGGCTTGTAATTTGGCCGCTTTTCTTTTACCAATTTTCTCACCATGTTGGTCAAACATTGGCAGCGCTGCTCCTTCGCCTTCAGAGCCTAGAGAATTCACGTGTGAACCAAATTTATCAAAATGGGCAAACAAAGCATTTGAGCAGTGATGAATGGTTTTAATTTTTCGTCAAAGTAAGTAGAAATAAAGATAAAATGAATGGAGTGAGCGAGCGAGATCAATAATTTAAGAACTATACAGACCAAAATTTTTAAAAAAACGCAGAAGAAAATGTAACGGACTATAACCCATTCGTTGTGAAAAATGACTGACCTTCTGCGTCTGGATCAACTTCGCCAAGCATCTGATTGACAAAGTCATCTTCGTCATGATGAATTCTCCGACGAACAACGTTTCTTCGACGCCCTCCGGCCACTATAACACGTTGAGTAGGATCGAAACGATGAGCTAAAACAGCTTGCTTACTCTGCGCTTCCCTGGCATTTTCTCGTTCGTCATCTGCTGCCATAGCCAGTAATGCCTCAGTCCGCCGCCGAGCTGCCTCTTCATCCCATTTTAACTTCAGCAAACGATAGATGATGAAGAGTAAACTGAAGCAAAAGCAGTGATTATTGACATGTCGACTAAGCTTCAATAACAGGGTTGAAATGCAGGCCTATGATCGATTCTGATAAATGCGATGACATTGTACATCTGATGATTTTAGATACAATAACAGCCAGTAAAAGAAAGCTGAGAGCAGGTAAAACCACATTGATATGTAGCTACACTATAGTTGACCACAAGGAATGTTGTGGAGCACTGAGGAGGTTAAAGGCAGTGGACAGGCGAAATGGACTCTTTTCGGATTTTGGTGGAGTTAGATAGTAGACCCCCCCCCCAATACACCGTAGCCCAAAGCCCACCCTCCAATTCATGCGCTAAGTCCTAAAAAATGCGCTTCGAAACTCCACCAGCCCCGCCCACTT